ACTCCCACTAATGAATGTCCCCTTCATCGTCCGCAATGTGATCTGACAACAAGAAGAGATCCAGGTTCGAATGTTGCGTTATCTCGTCAAGACATTCACGAAACAAACTAGAGTCGTGTAGACGTTTGAGATAGATCTAATCGTAGGTTAACTGTCAGTACATATTTGGTTATTATCCTAGTCAGGATAACACAGATATTTTCACTATCACATAATTTTCCCACAAAGGCCACAAGTTTCATTTAACACTTCTGATACTCAATCATCTGAGTGATTTAAAGCCATTTACATTATCTACGATATAGTGGTATCCAGGTATATATGAAGGGACTTAGTTTCCTATAAAACTATACGGTTAGAATTTTGTTCTGATTATGAATACTAAAGTTAGTTTTTGTAATTGATCTCATGTATATGATTCTAACAAACTTTACATGGATCTTAAACCAATTTCAACATAACGGATGGAGGAACAGAAAAATTTTCTAAGATAGTTACGATATTATAAGCTAGTATTAACTAAAGTATAACTAAGAAGTAAGAAATTATAGTCGGGCGACGCCGACCATATAATACCCTACACCTGCTACAAAACTATAATGTGATTTAGTTTTCATAATAAAGCATTTAAGTTGAATTGTACCTTGTCTCAGATATACTTAAGCCATTTATTGTTGAATAAAATTGTGGACATTTAAGCCAAATTTTGAAGGGGGCTTTGTATAGGGGCTATGGTCAAATGAGAACCTTTAATCATAAAATTCATGAGAGTCATCATTCAGTTGTATGTGGGCTAGGTGAAATAATGGACCATTTTCGTCCCTGTGACAATAGAAGATCATGTACCAAATTTTATTGAATTATCTTTGAAATTGCGACTATTAGTAGGTCAAGGTTTACAAGGTTTACATGGACGGACAGACAGACGCGCGGACATAGCTAAATCGACTCAGAAAATGATTCTAAGCCTATTGGTATACTTTAAGGTGGACCAATATTATTGTGCGTTACAAACATCAGCACAAACCCAATAAACCCTCCCCACTAAAGTGGTGTAGGGCATAAAAAGTAAATAAATATAAAAAAAGAGTTCGTGACTTCTAACGCAATTGAGAAAGCTCATTATAGTAACTCTCGCAATATTCGATTCCGTGTTAGCAATTCAGTTAAAATACAAGAGGTCTGGGTTCGAATCTTATCTCAAATAACAAATTTCTTCTTTAATGTAAATTAATTTGCTCTTGGCCCATTAAAAAAAGCATTACATAAAATTTTTTGAAATAAAATTTATGTATTTAAAAGTTTTACTAAATATTTTTTTATTTTAGGTATAATTTCTTAATTTATTTATGTAACCCCTAAACAAAAATAAAATACATATATAATTCCTTTCTAATTTTATTCTCTCGTTATCTTTTCATAATACACTGTTTCATAACATCTGTGTTTCTAATATTTTGTCACGCACTGTACAAATGTTATGGTTATAAGACACGCAATCAACAATAACAACATAAACATTAATAAATTCAATTATTTATTGTTGTTATTTTATAGTTGCTATAAACCTGCAGTTAAGTGTGTGATAATTGTTAATTCTATAGACGAGAATACTAATAAACAGAATTGTTTATAACAAATAAAAAATGTGTGTAGTTAAGTTTAAATGTAACATTTGGCAAGCGATGAATACAAGGCAGCGTGGCCGAGCGGTCTAAGGCGCTGGTTTTAGGCACCAGTCCGAAAGGGCGTGGGTTCGAATCCCACCGCTGTCACAAAGTTTTCTTTTAATTTTTTGCAAATCTTTAATTAATTTTTTATTACAAATATTATGTACTTATTTATATTTCATAAAATTTGTAATTAGATCTTGAAATATGTGTTATTAAGAATATTTGATATTAAATACATATTTTAGTTCTATTTTTCATATTTTATATTTTAGTTCTATTTTTAGATTATTTAAGTTATTGATTTTACTGATGTTCGTAGTATGTGACCTTTTGTGTAATTTGTTTTATGTTTTTCAAATAACATAATAAATATAATTGACATTTTGAAACATAATGGAATTAATTGTAAATATAATTTGTTCTGTTTAGTAAATGTTAAATGTACTTTTCTATCGAAATTTTTATATTAAAAAACAAGAATTTGTAGTTGGGCATGGCCGACCATATGATACCCTACATCAGTGATTATGTTCAAATGTTGATTATTTTTTGTTAATAATATTTAATTTCATATTTACCTTAATTTAGAAATATTTTAATAATTTTCTAGTTCTGTTCTATTTCATTCATCTAGCATTCATCTAGTTCAGTTCTAATTCAGTTCTATTTCAGTTCTAGTTCAGTTCTAGTTCAGTTCTAGTTCAGCTCTAGTTCAGTTCTAGTTCAATTCTAGTTCAGTTCTAGTTCAGTTCTAGTTCAGTTCTAGTTCAGTTCTAGTTCAGTTCTAGTTCAGTTCTAGTTCAGTTCTAGTTCAGTTCTAGTTCAGTTCTAGTTCAGTTCTAGTTCAGTTCTAGTTCAGTTCTAGTTCAGTTCTAGTTCAGTTCTAGTTCAGTTCTAGTTCAGTTCTAGTTCAGTTCTAGTTCAGTTCTAGTTCAGTTCTAGTTCAGTTCTAGTTCAGTTCTAGTTCAGTTCTAGTTCAGTTCTAGTTCAGTTCTAGTTCAGTTCTAGTTCAGTTCTAGTTCAGTTCTAGTTCAGTTCTAGTTCAGTTCTAGTTCAGTTCTAGTTCAGTTCTAGTTCAGTTCTAGTTCAGTTCTAGTTCAGTTCTAGTTCAGTTCTAGTTCAGTTCTAGTTCAGTTCTAGTTCAGTTCTAGTTCAGTTCTAGTTCAGTTCTAGTTCAGTTCTAGTTCAGTTCTAGTTCAGTTCTAGTTCAGTTCTAGTTCAGTTCTAGTTCAGTTCTAGTTCAGTTCTAGTTCAGTTCTAGTTCAGTTCTAGTTCAGTTCTAGTTCAGTTCTAGTTCAGTTCTAGTTCAGTTCTAGTTCAGTTCTAGTCAGTTTCTAGTTCAGTTCTAGTTCAGTTCTAGTTCAGTTCTAGTTCAGTTCTAGTTCAGTTCTAGTTCAGTTCTAGTTCAGTTCTAGTTCAGTTCTAGTTTCAGTTCTAGTTTCAGTTCTAGTTCAGTTGCTAGTTCAGTTCTAGTTCAGTTCTAGTTCAGTTCTAGTTCAGTTCTTAGTTCTTCTAGTTCAGTTCTAGTTCGTTCTAGTTCAGTTCTAGTTCAGTTCTAGTTCAGTTCTAGTTCAGTTGCTAGTTCAGTTCTGTTCCGTTCTAGTTCAGTTCTAGTTCAGTTCTAGTTCAGTTCTAGTGCAGTTCTAGTTCAGTTCTAGTTCAGTTCTATTCAGTTCTAGTTCAGTCAGTCGTTCAGTTCTAGTTCAGTTCTAGTTCAGTTCTAGTTCAGTTCTAGTTCAGTTCTAGTTCAGTTCTAGTTCAGTTCTAGTTCAGTTCTAGTTCAGTTCTAGTTCAGTTCTAGTTCAGTTCTAGTTCAGTTCTAGTTCAGTTCTAGTTCAGTTCTAGTTCAGTTCTAGTTCAGTTCTAGTTCAGTTCTAGTTCAGTTCTAGTTCAGTTCTAGTTCAGTTCTAGTTCAGTTCTAGTTCAGTTCTAGTTCAGTTCTAGTTCAGTTCTAGTTCAGTTCTAGTTCAGTTCTAGTTCAGTTCTAGTTCAGTTCTAGTTTAGTTCTAGTTCAGTTCTAGTTCAGTTCTAGATCAGTTCTAGTTCAGTTCTAGTTCAGTTCTAGTTCAGTTCTAGTTCAGTTCTAGTTCAGTTCTAGTTCAGTTCTAGTTCAGTTCTAGTTCAGTTCTAGTTCAGTTCTAGTTCAGTTCTAGTTCAGTTCTAGTTCAGTTCTAGTTCTAGTGGATATAATGGATCGATTTTAACCATTTTCCTTGTGTTAAAGGAAAAGTATGTGCCAAATTTCACCTAATTATCTTCAAAATTGCTTTACATGGACATACAGACAGACAGACAGACGGAATGACAGAGATAGCTAAATCGACTCAGAAAGTGATTTGAGCCGATTGGTATACTTTAAGGTGGGTGTAGGACCAATATTTTTGGTTGTTACAAACATCAGCACAAACGCAAAATACTCTCCCCACTATATTGGTGTGGGGTATAAATATTATTATACTCGGCATTGTGATTTTATCAAGCATGCCACATTTGTTTTATAGACCTTTAATAAATTGTTATGAATATAACCTATACACATACATATATATATGCGTATTAGGATACTAGGATTTATATCGGGAGCCTCCCAGTAAAAACTCGGTAATGACTTATATAACTATTTACTTTTCAATGTTTATTACAAACCATCTGCATTACTTTTAAATACTCCTATAATGACTTACATATAATCAGATATTAAGTACTTTATAACAGAAAGAAAATTAGTATTTGATGGTAAATATCTTTCCATCTCATTCCTCATGTCTGGTGTAAATTTGAAACATGTATCCTACTGCTACATTTGAAGTAAGTAAGCGATAGGTTCTCATTTTCATAGTACAACAAACTCATAAAAAGAAATTAAATTTTCTTTTTTTACGATATCGTAGCATATGTATGACACATGTCATCCAATATGTCACAGTTTATCATGTCATTACTATACAGACAGAATGTTAGTAAAAAAAAATCATTATTATATTTTGTTTTCTTACACATATTTCGTTATTTTCTAACATTTGTAGCAAATGTTGGTGAAAAGGAAATTACAACTAAAAGCGGATATTGTTAACTTTTTTTCACAACAATAAAACAATATTCAATTAATTACATGTTAATTATACTACAGAGTAGTAAATATACATATGTATATCACATTAGTAACACCTCAAATATTAAACATAAATAATGTTCTAATAATTCCTCTTGGTAATAATTATCTAGTATAATGTAGATTATTAATATGTATACTAATTAATAACTAAAATCAATAAGAAATTGTATTACAATTAATGTTATTGAATTTGTATTTAGACGTAAACATACCTGCATCTTCTAATCCAATACGATATGACTGCAATGCCAACTAATATTATGGCTCCCAAGGCACACCAGATAATGTTCTGTAAAGATAATAAGAAATGCATATGAAATATGTGTATTTTTATAATAAGCAGGACAAGGATTTCTATGCAAATGCATGTTTGTAGTCAATAACTGAAAATAACTTTTAACTAGTTTGCTTTTCGAATTAAAGAAAACTTTTGATTTAACAACAAAATACTAGGTTACATCTGTGAAACTATGAAAATATTCCCAGGTGGAGGACAGTCTGCCCTCCCTCAGCTAAAATGAAACCAACCCCACCACTCCTATCCGCCACCCGGGGATGTGCTCGGTAGGAAAAATGGGAAAACTCCACCGAGAGTTTTATGTAAAGGGACGATCGGTGGAAGCCGATTTTAACGAAGTTAAAAGGTCAATCCTTCGATAGCAAACTGTATACACTGGCGGTATGAATTGACATCGAAGGCGTCTTCAATAACGTGCACACTGATACTCTTATCCAATCCCTAGACCAGTTTTATGTTGACCGGGTGCTCCGTAACTGGATCAACTACATGGTAAGGCACAGATGGATAAGCTGCGAGATATACGATATAACTGTCAGAAAAAAGAGAAAGATCCAAATTACTTGTGTAGAAGAGCTGAGGAGGCTCTGAATACGGCCGTGAGCTGGGCTGAACTGAGAGGCCTCAATGTTAACCCGGCAAAAACGGAAATCTGTCTTTTCACAAGAAAGACAACAATTTCTAGGTATACTGAACCTTGCTTCCTGGGCAAGAAGATATCGGTGACAGGTAAAGTTAAGAACTTACGTGTAATCCTTGACCGGAAATTAAAATAGAGACAACATATAGAGGATAGGATCAACAAGGCACATCGGTGCTGGGCGATATGTAGGAGAACTATAGGCATGAAATGGGGTCTTAGTCCTACTATGACAAATTGGCTTTATAAAAGTGTAATTAGACCAATTACAGCATATGCTTCAATAATCTGGTGGACTGCTTTGGAAAAAAAGTGTAATATAAAAACAGGGAGTTCAACGTACATGCTGCTTGGGTATAGGTGGAGCCATGTGTACTACTTCAACCAAGGCTCTCAAAAAGTTGCTAGATATTGCAGCCATTGAAACATATTTAAGATATGAGCCGGCGCTTACAGCCGAACGTCTCTTTAGGCGAACTGGCCAAAAGCGATTATAGGATACATCATTAATGTATAATGGACACATTGGAAGGTTATACACAATCATCGGATGTGCCTGATCGCATACCGTACACAGATTATGTCGGAAACTTTGAAACGCTGATCCCGTTGTTGCACGGATGGCTCTAAATTGGAGGACAAAGTGGGGCTGGGTTTCTATATTGAAGACCGAGAAACAGAAATATACCACCGTTTACCTAATCATAACACAAGCTTCCAGGCAGAAGTCCGAGCAATATTGGAATGTGTAAATTGGTTTATAATAAATATGACGCCTACCGGGCTTAATATATTTACCGACAGCCAGCGAGATATCAGGTGATAGAATTAAATCTAAGACCGAATTGGATTGTAAGAAAGCTTTAACTGAATATTCTCCCAAAGGTAAGGTTTACACTATATGAGTACCAGGTCACTCGGAACTAGTCGTCAACGAAATGGCGAATGTAATAGCTTTAAAAGGAAGAGAGCTCGAGGTAGTGAATCTGACAAATGCAAAACCTTTCGACGCAACAAAAGCTGAATTAAAAATATGGGTAAGAGAATCCCATAAGGCCTCTTGGAATAATGAAACGGAGGGTAGAACCACAAAGATCCTTTGGGGTGACTCTGATGAGAGCAAGACGAGAAATCTCCTCAAAATGAGCAAGTCTGAAGTTAGTATGATGGTACGTATTCTGAGTGGACACACAGGATTACGAGCACATCTATACAAAATTGGACGTGCAGATTCAGACGAATGTAGAGAATGTGGAGAGAACAGTTAAACACTGGAGCACTTTTTTTGCCACTGTCAGGCATTTGTCAAAGTTAGATCCAAGTATTTTGGAGGTGATGTTATTCTGGAAATAACATTTCTGACAAACACTGATTGGAAAATTTTTAGGAATTTCGTCCAGGAAACTGAGTTTCTGAATAATACATTCAGTAAATATTTTTTCGTATGAAAGAAGCGCACAACAGGCCCGATAGTGGCTTAGGATTTGATACCTAACCTAACCTAGATTTACTTATTTTTAAAAATCTAAACCACTAGTGGATAGGGTATTTTGCGTTTGTGCTGCTGATTGTAAAAAAAATTGCTTTCTGACTCTCTCCATCTCTTTCACAATACCCCCCATACAAAATATCATCCAGAAAATGATTTAAGTATCAGATTTTATTTCAATTATAAAATTATGCTAAATTTATACAATTTTTACATTCACACACATAATAAATAATATTTGCTTTCATAACTAGCTAATTTAATTCCCTTATTGACTTTTCGAAATTTGCAAAATGTATTTTAGCCAATTCAGCTTGTACATAAAATTCTATTAGATTTCCTAAACGAAATGGTATGAGATTTATTTGTATTTAAATATTTTTGTTAGACACACAGGAATATTTACATACATATATGGAATTTTTAGTTCTACTAAATTAATACATAAATACATACATAATTATTTTATTAGTCCAAATGTCATATGAATATTTAATTAAAAATTTATAAATTTAATGTAGGTTTACATAAGTGACATTATTATTATTTATTTCAAAAAGTACCATCTGAATAATTAAAATGTACAAAAATCTCTCTCAATAAATTTTAATTTAGTAAGGACCCTGTGTCATGTGTTCCGGTTCCCCATTATAGAGAATTAAAAAAGTACCATTTGAAGAATGGAAAAGTACCAAAGAGTCCCCACTTGCAGATTGTTATTCAGTCAGTTAGAAAAATGAAAAATATTATTTCAGAGATAAAAAGTACTAAAAAGTTCTCTCTTAAAGAATCTTATTCAAAATAGACCGTGTATGTTAAATAATCATTTGTTTTGGATACATTTTATAGAACATACAAATAGTATCATTTGAAGAAAGAAAATGTACCAAACGTGGAATGAATTCTACTTTTGTGGAAAGTTCCAATCAAAAAAGTTCAATTTTTCCCCTTTCGCTTAGAAATAGACTTTTTCGAGAGTTAAGTTTACAAAATAATGTGTTTAAATCTATATATCACAGCTAAAACTCGAACGATTCAAATCTGCATTCATTTGTTCCAGAAAAATTGTGATTTCAAAAAGTACCAAAAATTTCCCGTATTTCCCATTTCCCCTTTTTGGTACTTTTTCTCCCCAGTGAAATAGCAAATATTTTGTTTAAATAAATATTGGAGAGTTACTACGTAATTTAATAGGTACCATAGTCTAGTCAATACATACAAAAACTAGTGTTTATAAGTGAATTGTGAACATTCAAGTCATTTTCTCAAGGGGACTAGGGTCAAATAATGCCCGATCATCATGAAAATCGACAGTGTTATTTATAATTATGTCAAACTTAATTATGCCGATTTTGGATATATTAGACGTAGTTAAAAGATAAAAGGACCAAATCAGAAGGTCCGATTGTATGGGTTCTAGGGCAGAAATTGAGCCGATCCTTATAAAATTTAATGTCGGGATTTATGTTTACAAAAAAAAAAAACTTATTTGTGCCCAATTTCATCGTGATATTAGTTTTATAAGTGAATTGTGGACATTCAAGTCATTTTTGGAAGGGGATTTTATATGGGGAGTAGGGTCAAATAATGCCCGATTATTATGAAAATCGACAGTGTTATTTATAATTATATCAAAAGTAGTTGATCGATTTTTGGAAAGACGTAGTTATGAGCTAAAAGGCCCAAATTTATATTTATATTGTCGGGATTAATGTTTATATAAAACATAATTGTGACAAATTTCATTGTGATACTAGTGTTTATACGTGAATTGTGGACATTTAAGTCATTTTCTGAAGGGGACTTTGTATAGGGGCTAGGGTCAACTGAAGCCCGATTATTACGAAAATCGGCAGTATTATTTATACTTATACAAAACTAAGTATTGCCAATTTTTGTTGAAATACTACAGTAGTATATACTAGAACATATAACAAATTATGAGCTCAAAAGCCCTCTTCGGGATGTCCGGTTGTATGGAAGCTAGGTGAAATAATGGACCGATTTTAACCATAGCCAATCAATAGCGTTTGTCCTTCGACCAAAAGAAGTGTATGTGTCAAATTTCATCAAATTATCTTAAAAATTGCCACCTGTAGCGTGCGCACAAAGTTTACACGGACACACAGACGGACGGACATAGCTTAATCGACTTAGGAAGTGATTCTGTCCCCATTGGTAAACTTTAAGATAATGCCATACTTACAAAGATCAGATCAATGCGACAAGCAGAAATTGTCTTCAACGATTTTCAATGAAGTCATATAACTGGGCCTGACATAGGGCTCATAAGATCAAGAAAGACGAAGATTCGCCATCAAGAACGGTTTTAAACATAGTCAGTTTTTATCAATATTACCGTTTGAACTTTTGATGTAACTGATATTTAATATTTAACCTGAATCTTTAAAAAATATACGAAAACTGGCATAGATTTATAAATTTTTTATAGAATAACATTTTTAAAACTTGGCAAACAATTTTTTAGATTATATGAAATGTTAACAAAATTTGACATTTAATGTCAAAACAAATCAAAATTTGATTGGACTTGAAAACAAATACCCAAACAGACATAAGTAAATACATTTAATAAAGGGGATTTTGTTAAAATGGCGAATGGTGGAGGCAGGAGTAACTACTCAAAATATTTATTTACCTCACTTCCACACTCCTCAATTGTAAATAAAATGTTGTTTGTGCAGTGGCATGAACAATGAACATTAAACATGTGACATGTTGCTTTTTGTCAAAACAAAAGTGTCTACTTGGGTTACACAAAAGCCAACAAAACACAAACCCCCCACCCTCACCAAAAACAAAAAAAAAAAAACAACAACGAGTCAAAGGATGTTTGAAGTA